ATTTCTCTCTATTTTTAGTAGAGACAGGGTCTCGCTCTTGCTCAGGCTGGTCTTGAACTCCTGACGTTCAGCGATCCACCTGCCTCGGCCTCCCAGAGTGCTGGGATTACAGGCGTGAGCCACCACGCCCAGCCAGTTTTCTGATGGAGATTTATTAGATTTTTTTCCCTACAAAGGAAATCTCTGATATATGAAAAAAATATTATGCTGCTACTATTTTTAAACCTATATTTTCCCTTTAATAACATTTCATAGGAATCTTATGAAATGTTTCACATCCTTAATTCCTCATTTTTTTATGCCATACTGTCTTTTTCCTCAGAGATTCTCCTCTGATTATTAGTTCTTAATAACTTACTCTAAATGTATCCCTTCTTTCCTTCCTAGCAATGTATTGTTTTGATAGATCATTGAAAGGAAAGCAAGGGGTCTCTAGATCTCACTAGTGGAAATGCTGACACATAATATGCACTTTGGAGTTATGGAGGGAGATAAATGACAATACTACTAATCCTGTGGGCTGAGGCTTTGTTCAAGTGTATTCATTGGATTAGGTGATGAGCATTTGTTGTATGACTTCGGAACATTTCAGAACTCATCTAAACTACTGACTCTTCCATTTTATTACACAAAGTATATTGTGAGGACTCAATGATTATATGTTGCATATACATATGAGTACACACAGTGCATTGTATAGCACAGCAAGCAAACATTATGTCCTTAAAATTTAACGAAAGAGTAGTAATGTCTATAGCATACTAGGATCTGAGTAAATGCCAAAGTCCAAGTGTATTATTTCATTTAAAATGAGTGATTTCTATTGTATTATATCCAGGAAGAACATGTTCTTTTCCAACTTGAAGAAGGGATTGAAGCTTTGGAAGCTGCAATTGAATACAAGAATGAAAGTATCCAGAGTCGCCAGAACTCACTTAGAACATCATTCCAAAACCTCTCTCGTAGTGAAGCAGATGTCTTAGAAAAACTAACTTGCCTGAGTCCAGTTGAGATTAGAGCTATTCTTTTCAGATACTTCAATAAGGTTTGTTTTTGAGGGACAGAACATTTTTCTTATAAAGAGGGGTCAAGATGCTTATGTATCCCGTGTTTAGTTTAAATTTTTAAAGAAATTGAAAGGCTCAAAGATTTGATGATGCAACTACAAATTTAAGCATGATTTCTCTTTAAAGTACTGAATGCTATCATCTCAAAGCTTTGTGATTATCCAAATCTATAGGCCTAACTTTGTGAGCTTTCAAAGTTAGAGGACCTTTTAAAGAAAGGCTTTTTGAAATAGTTTTAGAAACCAAAGAATTTAAGTTATATTCCTTGCTCATTATTTCTTGGATGTTTTTTAGATTTGGATGCTTTTTCATAACATTCATGAAAAATCAAGGGCCCTCCAGATTTTGATTCGCCTTTCTTCCCTGCTGTAGGGTAGTGGAACCTGTACTTTCTCATAATGTGTGAGTTGAAATGGAGATGAAGCAGTGCATTAGCAGCAAAGATACTAATAGATTTTATTAACCTGCATGTGCTTAAATCAATTAAAGTATTTTATACAAATTTGACCATTTACTGCACCAGAGATGTTTCATAGCATTGAGAACTACATCCATCTTTTCTTAAATGTCTTTTCCACTTAAAATACATATTATGAAGTGTTACACAACTAGATAACTCTTTTCTCTGAAAAGTGTATTCAATGTATGGGAGTATCAGACAATGAAGGAAAAATGAAACACTGAAGCTTTAAAATAAAGTTCTAATTCTGTGAAATAAAGATGAAAAATGAATGAAAATGTTATACACGCTTCCTCTTGGATAATCACTCTCAGTAGTAAGCTACTATTAATATTATTGATGAGAGTAGTCCTATCACTGTGTGTTTGGAGGGCAGAAAAATAGTATTGTCATAGGCTTTGACATAGATAACTCTTTTGTGGTACTTTTAAAGCAAGAGTTCTTAACCCAAGGCACCTGTGCCAGGGTCAGTGGATTTTCTGATCCTGAGACCCTTTGTATTAATGAGTATTTTTTTCTGGAGAGAAGATCATTAGATTATTAACAAGTTCTGTGACATAGACATTGTCTGAAGTATTTTTACTTCATATTAGCAGAGAAGAACCCAGGAGACAAAATGTATGACCTGAAACTAAACTCTGTTTATAGTTTAAAAAATTCTGTCACTTACTTATAATATCCATTTTGGAGTTAAAACTGGGAATTATCTAGATGTTATACAAGAGTCTTTAGCTTCTCAATATCCACTTAGTCTACAGAAAAAGAATTATAAAATGTAAACTTCAGAGATCACATCTAAGAAATTATGGAGGGGTGATTATTAGAGCAACATTATATTGAAAATGAAAGTGTTACCAATTCAGAATCCTCCCAAATTCAAAAGGCTGCTAGGTTATTTTGGGGATATGTTACAAAGCATTTACCTAAGGACCTTGGCAAGAATCACTTATGCTGTGGAAACTAAGGATGTTCATCTTTATGTGCCTAAGAAAAGTAGATGAGTCTATTATATTAGGCTAAGACACACTTAAAAGGTCAAAAATGTATTTTCTAGGTGGTTAATTTGCGAGAAGCTGAACGGAAACAACAGTTACATAATGAAGAAATGAAAATGAAGGTTCTGGAACGGGACAATATGGTTCATGAATTGGAATCTGCACTGGAACATCTGAAATTGCAGTGTGACCGGAGACTGACCCTCCAGCAAAAGGAACATGAGCAAAAGATGCAGTTGCTGTTACATCATTTCAAAGGTAACTGCCCCTCTTTGTCAGTTACGTAACAGTGATATATGAATGGGATATTGAGAAAGGAAGATAGGATAGAATTTGATTACTTAAAATCCCAACATGTTTAAATAGTTACTACTTATACAAGTGTTTGGGCTTTACATGTTTTGGTTACCATGTTTTAGAATAGTTGACTTTGTTGTAGGGCTATTCATGCTTTAAATGGTATCCCTTCTGCCTGCCCCCAGCACACACCTAAGAACTGCTACAATCCTGTTAGTTTTTTGTCGGTCTAGTTTTTATATAGAAATATGGGATTACTTCTGGGTTTCTGGTGTACAGTTGAAAATTTTCTATTTCCATGGGATATAATACTATGATATTTAAATTATTTTTCATTCACAAAAATGGTAGTGGTAGGTGGGCTCTGTCATATTCCTAGTTGTATTTCTTATTAAAATTTCCAATTGACAAAGTTGTATCTTAGGTCAAAATTAGTCTACCATTAATTAATGGGCACCTACTGTTATCAGTGAGCAATAGTTCAACCATCAACTCCTATGTAGAAAGAGAGCTATCAAAGCAATTGGGCCAGTATTACCTGGGCATATGGCCAGTACACAAACAGCTGATACGGCAACAAAATCACTGCCAGATGATACTGTTACTGCTGCAATCCAGGCTGCTTAGTCTTGATTCTTATGAATCCATAGCTGAAAATTTATCAAAAGGGATCTGGCATAAGCAACCTGAGTAAGCAGAAAATTGGAAAATATACGAATTTGAGTACTGAGGCATTTTGTCCCTAAGTTAATTCTGTAACTGCTTGATTGCCTAACGACAGGATCTCCTTGACACAATATTGCATTCAAACATGTTCTCACCTTAGTTTAGTTATGTCTTAAGTTTCTGAAAGTGATATTTAATAGAATTTTTATGTATTTTTAGAGTGACTGGGATTATACCACAGAAGCTCGTGCTATAGCTAAATCAGAACATTTTTAAAAATCATGGATTTCTATAGCTATGCAAGTTTTTATCACAAAGTTGTAACTACAATGTTAACAATTTATGAATTGTCTAATTTCTGCTGAATATGAGACACAAAATTAAATTATGCCCATTATGGGGATTCTGATTTATGATGTCATTAATTTTAAGTGTTTTTTAAAAACAAGATGATGGGTTAATTTAAAATATACAAATATACTGAAATAAAATTTTACAAAACAGCAAATTATAACAAAAGAAAAATACAAACCAGTAGGACCATTTTATAAATATGCCAACAGGAGAAAATGGTCTGAAAGTCCTTATATTCTAAAGGACAGTAACACTGGATTTTACTGATTCTAGAATATAACCCAATGGGGACTGTGTTAGACATACATAAATATTAATTAGAAGCTTTAAGTTATGTTGTGGTATAAAGTAGAACTTTACTTATGCTGGCTATTTTCCTTCTTTCTCTGTGGTGTTTTTCTTTGCAATTTAATCTTTCTAGCCTCTTTTAACAGGTTTTTGTTTTTGTGGGTTTTTTGGCTTTATATTTCTTGGGCATATAAACCCTAGCTTTATGACTTTCCATACAACCACAGTTCCTAACATAAACCTTAAATAAGATATAAATGCAGCTGATGGACAGAGTTCCAACGTGAACTTTTTATAGAAGTCACCTTTTGCTGTTCTAAGGAGAAGTCTAGTTGGTAGCTACTGCAAAAAAAAAAAAAACACTTATGGAGGCTGGTTGTGGTAGCTCATGCCTATAATCATAGCACTTTGGGAGGCTGAGGCCAGAGGACCACTGGAGGCCAGGAGTTTGAGACCAGCCTAAGCAACATAGCAAGTCCCTGTCTCTACAAAAATTTTTTTTTTTTTAATTAGCTGAGCATTGTGGTGTGCATTTGTAGTCCCAGCTACTCAGGAGGCTGAGGCAGGAGGATCTCTTGAGCCCAGGAGTTTGAGGTTACTGTGAGCTAGGCTGATGCCATGGCACTCTCCCAGGCAACAGAGCAAGACCCTGTCTCAAAAAAAATTCGTATGAATCATGAAAATGTGGTGGTTAGTAGGGGGTAAGGTAGAGAAGGTGGCTAAGGGTTCAATCCTACTTTGAAATACTTTACAGGCAGAAGAATCCAAATTGCAGCGGAAAACAAATCCATTTAGGTAATAGACATATGTAAAATACTTCTGATCTTTTAAATATAGTCTGGAGGCTATGTTAAAACATAGTTTTGAATCATTTATTTAAAACTGATTTTAAATGTACATTTCTGTTTTACAGAGCAAGATGGAGAAGGCATTATGGAAACTTTAAAAACATATGAAGATAAAATCCAGCAGTTGGAAAAGGATCTTTATTTCTATAAGAAAACTAGCAGACATCTTAAGAAGAAACTCAAGGAACTTGTAGGGGAAGCAGTTCGTCAGCAACTAGCACCATCAGAATGTAAGACTTTCAGTGTTATTTGTCATGCTAACACTGTTTCTCTAGCATTTGTAGTGTAGCCTTTTACAATTGTGTTATTTAGGATTAAACATTTAACTCCTATAATATTTGTCTCTGTTGAGTTGTCTAGTCTATGTATAAGACAGAACCACATGAGAAGTGAATGAATGAATGAACAAATGTGTATGCGTGTAGGAAACAATCATTTATTGATTGCTTGCCACATGCCAGGGGCTTTTGTAGTCTTTAATCATTTAATCTTTCAAATAATGCTATAATCTAAGATAGCTGTTGTTTCCCTATTTTATATTAAATTAAGCCTTCAATTGTCACAAAAAAGATGTATAATAGATAATGATAATAAAAGTAAAGGTAAAAGTATGTATTTCTGGTGGGGCACATTGGCTCATGCCTATAATCCTAGCACTC